GATTTAATCAAAAATTTTATTTACCTTTACGGGAAGTTAATTAACAAGTCAATAGAATACATCACATGGTTAATTTACACAAATCTCTCTTGAGTTATAAATAAAAACAAAAAAGATAAATACACAACACAAGATATAGATTTTTTGCAATGGCTGTATATTTAACACCTTTCCTGTTAGTTTAACAAACAAAACACAATTTTTACTTTGTAAATTAACTGGGATTCAGCACTATGAACACTTTTTCACATTTTTTAACGTTATAATTAATTATTCGCACTTTTTAACTGTCCATTTGAAACATTTCAATTTAACACCGAGAATGATTTGACAGCTCAGAAAATTCTTTGATAAAAAAGCATTTATCTATCGTTGGTACCACTGTATGATAAGGTTATAAAAGTTAAGTTGGTTTCTGTCAAAATAGTAAATATTGCATAATAAATTCTGTCAAAATAGTAAATATCGCACCATAAATAAAGAGTTTTTCGTGTATATTATAGTATTTTCACATTTAATACTAAAAAATCAAGTTTTATATACTTCAACATCTTTTGCTAGAGAATAATCAACAAGAAAACATTTTCTAACCTCAAAATGGATTTCAAAGGTAAAGTTGTAATAATAACAGGAGCAAGTTCCGGAATAGGCGCTGATTGTGCTCAACATTTATCTAAACTCGGTGCCGACTTAACAATAACCGGTCGAAATCTTGAAAACCTCAAAAAAGTCGCTGAGCAATGCGAAGGCACACCCTTAATCTTAAACGGAGAACTAACCGACGAAGCCTTCGTCAAGCAACTAATAGACGAAACCATAAAAAATACGGCAAACTCAATGTCCTCATCAACAATGCCGGCATGTTGGAAACAGGCACCATCGAGACAACCAGTCTAGACCAGTACGACAGAATCATGAACGTTAACATGAGATCTGTGTACCATTTGACAATGTTAGCAGTGCCTCATTTGATCGAGACGAAGGGAAATATAGTGAATGTCTCAAGTGTAAACGGTATACGCTCTTTTCCTGGTGTTTTTGGCTTATAATATATCCAAAGCGGCTTTGGATCAGTTTACAAGATGCGTTGCTTTGGAACTGGCGCTTAAGCAAGTTCGTGTTAATTCTGTTAACCCGGGGGTCATTATTACTGAGATACATAAACGGGGGGAATGGATGATGAAACTTATAAAAATTCTTAGGTAATAATAAATACATATACATACATACATATATATATATATATATATATATATATTATATTATATAATTTATTTTAGAACATTGCAAAACTACTCACGCCTTAGGACGTCCAGGACAAGTAAGTGAAGTATCCAATGCCATTGCGTTTCTTGCAAGCGAGCACAGCAGCTTTATTACAGGTGCTTCGTTACCGGTTGATGGAGGCAGACATGCCATGTGCCCACGATGAAGTATTATAGAACAAATAATATAAATACTATACATTCTATAATATACTACCTCCGCACTTCAAATAGATATAAATATTATTAGTTGCTGTTGATATCCCTAAAATGTATATGGTTTATGTGTTAAATATTTTTTGTATTTATATAAATAAAGTAAAAGCAAATAGTATTTACCTAAAGACATTTTTCTCAATTTGACGTTATCAAATTAAATCCATGGTTTTTACATCATCATGTCCTGTAAATTAATATTCCTTCGATATTAAACTCAAGACATATGTATTAATCTCAAGTCATTACTTATCAAGGGTCTTACATAATATATATATATATATATATATATATATATATATATATAAACAGTCCATTATTTTTATATAGATATAATATATTCATATATTTCTTTGGTTACAACAGATACATTCATTTTCGCTTACACATATAAACCTTAAATGAAGAAACTACTGCTTTTTAATTTTCTAATTGTTAATTTGTTTAAACTTACTTTATATTTATATTATATATAGTGTGTGTTTGTGTGTGTATAAAAACTCCATAAAAATAATAGACATCAACCATTTTATAATAGTAGGTACAGATAAATATAAATACTTATGATATTAATAACCATTGGATTTATACAAAGCATATATATATATATATATATATATATATATTATATATATAAATCAGATTAAATAAACCTAAATATTACCATTAACATTTATCAAACAATTACATAACAATTTCGTTTCAATTTCCAATTTCTGATTTTTCACACCTTAGCAGTACTACGAGAGCTAATATAGTTAATAATTATAATTAAAATATTTGTACAAAATATTATTTATTAAGAACATTGGTCTGCACTCTTGAAAAATTCATACCACCACCATTTTTGGAAAGCACAAGGATTTTTCATATCGATAAATATGTTAGTTAATATATATTCTATACAATATTGATGAAAGAATAAGCGAATTTGCAAAATATAAAAATTAATACTTTTGCTGGTGGTGAAAGTATTGTTTTTTGTTGATTTTCATAAGTATATTTCTTTGAAGGTTTTTTAAAAGAGTTTAGAAGATTTTTCAAGACTCTAGAAGATCCTCCAAGACTCAAAAGGCTTCCCAAAATCTAGAAAGATCATTCAAGACTGACTTTAAAGACTCCAGAAGATCCTAAAACTCTAGAAGATCTTCAAAACTCTACAAGATCCTAAAAGACTCTCCAAAGATTTCCCATTTCCAAAATCTAGAAAGATCCTCCAAGACTCTAAAAGATCTTTCAAGACCCTAGAAAATCCTCCAAGGTTCAAGAAGATCTTTAAAGACTCCAAAAGATCTTCAAAAACTCTACAAGATCCTAAAAGACTCTCCAAAGATTTCCCAAGAATCTAGAAAGATTCTCCAAGACTCTAAAGATCCCAAGACCCTAGAAGATCCTCTAAGATTCAAGAAGATCTTTAAGACTCCAAAAGATCTCAAAACTCTACAGATCCTAAAAGACTCTCAAAAAAATTCCCAAGAATCTAGAAGATCCTCCAAGACTCTAGAAGACCTTCCAA